GAGAAAAACACAAAGGTCAGTGCTTACAGAGGAGGTGGATTTGGGGTAAATCCAAATTCTGAATTAGACATTAGGTGTTGACTGCAGAATCCTTTTAAAATAAGACATGCTATGCAAAAGCTGAAATAAGATCTCTTTCAGCTGCATGTAGTATAACCTTCAGTGTCTGACCTAAAACTAAATCAGTACAAGTTTTAAGGTCTAAAAAAATCCAAAAAGGCTAATTCCAGCTGAGTGAGAGTTATAAAAATACTGAGCAAAATAAGAAATTATTTCTCCCTTTGGGAAACTCAGCATGAGATAGTTAAACACAGAAATGAAGCTGATAGAGCTTACACTTCTAATCAACTTTTTTGCAGGAAATGAGATTGTAATTTATTATTTATACTCCTTATTTCTTAAAAAGTAGGTCCCAGTGTCATTTTTCTGGGTATACATAAAAGAAAGATGAGAGAACCTACTATACAGTGACCTTTGTTTTAATACAGTATTACCAGAATACTAGAAAATTGAGCGTTTTCAAAGAAGAGAAATACATTTTCAAACCTTGCCTCAGTAAATGTGTAAAAAACATCCCAACCTACTCAACCTTTGTAAATTACATTATTCTTCCCATTAAATGACACATGTGAATCAATTTACATTTTAATTTGCTGATCAGTCGGGACATATGTTTTATAACGGTATGGAGTGAGACAGCACAGCTAAAACTCTGGGTGGTCATTGTAATGCTGGGATGGAGATAGACTCTGAGATGAGCCTTGGTTAGGGGAGGGGAGGGAGGAGAAAGTGACAGTACCAGGACGGACATATGTGCGTCATGAACAACGGCTGTTATCTTTAGGGGCCCAAAGGGTACTCTTTCTCTGAACTTTGAGAGTTCCTTAAATTAAAGTGATGAGATCAATATGTAAACAGAGAGAAGCTCAAGCATTTTAAAGGAGCTCTAACTTCTTTATTTCATAGGTTCAGCTATAATCCGACCTATTATGTCATTCACCAAAAATGTACTGAATGCCTGTTAGATGGTCCAGACGGTACCAGGGTTGGGAGCAGAGGAGAAAGAGAACAACACTGGCCCTAACCTCGAAGGTTCACTATCTAATGGGAGGGGCATGTGGCTTCGCATTATGTGACTACACTGCTATAGACACAGTAGAGGTGGTGAAGATTAAATTCTGCAGCCAGGCTGCCTCGGTTTGAATTCTAGTGCTTCCATTATAGAGCTGTGTAATGTTGGACAAGCTCCTTACACTTCGGTGCTTCAGTATTCTTACCTGTAAGACAGGGCTAAGGAAAATGTAATCCTCATAGTGTTATTATGGAATGAAATGCATTATAATATACATAAAGGTCTTACCAGTGTCTGGCTATGATGACTGCACTTGTTTAATGACATGCTTGGGAGTGAGACACAGCCAGGATACAGCAGTAGGACAGAGAGGGCTTCCTAGTTGTGATGAGATTTAAACAGAGTTTTGAAGTAGTCTAGAAGGATTTACACATGTATGCACTGGTGAGAAAGTGTGAAACAGCATGTACAAGTTTACAGGGAAGAGAAGTCACTGGGAGTTTATGATACTTGGAGAGGTCAATGAGCAGAATCTAGACTATATTAAGGAATTTAGATTTTTATCCTAAAGACTTCTCTGAATGTTTTTGTCCTTAGACATGCTGGGTATTTTATTCTTCCTTTTCTGTAACAGCCCTGCCTCCCAGGTCATTAATTTCTCTTTACCTCTGTTCAATTGCATACTTGGCTACCAGGTAATCATGTTATAAGCTACAAGATAATCTTGTTTAAAAAAACATGTTTGACTAGGTTCATCTCTGTGTACAACAAGGTGACTTTTATTTCCTGTTATTGTTTAGATTGAATTTAAATACTTTGGCCCAGTATTCAAGTTTCTCTCTCCATTTATACATACAAATTTACATCCTCTTTATTGTAATAGCATTGTAGTGAGAACCAGCTTTCTGTTATTCCCATCTCCCTCGCTCTTTGTACATTTTATTTATCTCAAGCTCTGATTTTGCTGAAGTAGTCTCCTCTTTGGAATTTTAATCTCCCTTGATCCATTTTTCTTAAGAACAGGCTTAACTTTGACCTTCCTGAAGAAAACAAAAAGTTTGACCAAACTTCACATTATGTTTATATGCCTCCAACACCACCATCCCTTGGTCTTGAGATTCACAATCATATACTTTAGTTTAGACTACATTTTCCTCTCTTCTCTCTCCACAATGTTTATGCCTTCCTTGTGATTTTGCCTTCTAGAAATACCTTACTTTCCAATTTAAGTACATCTATAGTATTTTGCATATTAAACAGCCCCCAAAAATGTTTATTGGATGAATATACTACTTGCAAAAAGACCTCATAATACAATTTCATTAATAACATGCCATGATTATTATATGAAAGTTCTATACATCTTTAAAAATTAGTTACTTGACTCTTGCAAGCTGAATTGGAAGAGAATTGAGATGACCTTATGGCTGATTTTACTTAGGTATGTATAGTTCACATAGATAGGTAGAACATTTTTCAAAGGTATTGGAATTCTTTCACTCAAAATGACTTTTAAAGTTGAGCTTCCATTATAAAATGCAGCTGAAGACATAGAGGAATTTAGAACCTAGAGTAAATAAACCCTGGACATTTGAGTTCAGAAGGAGGCTACAGCCATTTATTCAATTCTGTTGTGGATCAGTCATTGCAAGGCTGCTAACTTCACATAAATTATCTCTTTAAATCTTTCCAACATCTCTTCCCAGGAGAAGTAATTATTGTGATGGCCATTTTATAGTCAATGCCCCCGTGGCTCAAGAAGTTTAAGGACTTCTTCCAAAGTCTGACGCATCCAAGTGATGAATTTGGGATTTGAATCCTGATCATTAGGATTCTAGAGGCCAAGTCCTTTGAGAGGTTATATAGACTTTATTGTTAGAACGGCAGTATTTAGAAATAGATTAAATGATTCAACAATTTTGAAAAAGCAACAAATTGTCTTGGTCTCAGCTCTTCATTCTTTCAAATTTACCTTAGATAATCTCTAAAGCTCTTACAACTAAACCCTTCTGAAAAAGTAGCATCTGTTTTCTTTCTTTTTAAATCACATTTTAAAATCTCATGACATAGAGAGTCAGGTGGAAAAGATGTGCACATCAATGGGTTGTATACTGATTACAGCAGGGACATATAATTAGTAAAGGAATTATTAACTTTTTCCTTATGTATCTATCTATTGTTTGACATGGTAAAATAGTCATTTCTATGTAATAAAGTACAATCTAATAAACAGAAGACGAACTATAATAGCATGCTTAGTGGTGAGTTGGCTAAATTCAAATCTCTTCTTTTATATTAAATATTGATTACCAAATTATATAAATTTCAGAAATTATATCTGATATACTTATTGCTTGAGTTAGGGTATCCTAGAATGTCTTTTTTGCATTCTACTCTAGATAAATATGCATATTAAGGGTGACATGATTCTAGAACTACATCAAGAATCAAATTGTGTTGAGTACTTGCATTTACTTTCATTACCCTAAAAGTGAAAATAGCTATTGTCAAAAATATATCCAATATTTTAGATATCATAATGCCACTAATAAATGTATAACCATTATTTGGTGTCAATAATGTTAATTTTACTAGACTCTCAAGCCTTTCTCTAAATTGTGCAACAAAGTATTGTGAAGAGAAAAGTCTGGAATAACACTTATGTATAAGAAAGTTGAATGTGATAATTAGCATTAGAACTTCTCCCATATCCTAAGAAATCTAGTTAAAATGATTGGATATTCTTGGATATATTAGAAATGGTTCAAACTATAAACCTGGAAGAGACAATGTAAAGATGAAATGCCAATACATAGAGTACTCTGATCATGGTCAGTTAAAACCTTTTCTCCAGATACTGACTTCTTCCGCCATTTGACTCCTTTGGAGAAGTTGGGTCAGTGCTAATACCTGAACATTCTTCTCTCAAACATAAACAGTCTCATTGAAAAGTAGCCATATTTTCTTTTGCCTATAAAGTTCTGAGCACCTTGTCACCGAACTTAGTTAGATGAAATGGAAATCCTTTCTATCAAGCATCAGTATGACATACAATCCAAGGCTCAAATTTCTATTACATTTAAGGAGGACATTTTGATATGTTAATTTATACCTCTAGGTTTCAGATCTGACTTGCAGGACATCCTAATTAAAGCTAGCCATTGGAGAAAAGACACTCCAAGTAGAGATAAAATGAACTCCAAGTTACTTGAAAATATGACACAAGCATAACAAAAACTAAGAAATCGTGGAGGCTGAAAATATTACTCTTTTCTTTTTTATCACCTTTTATGATGCACTAGGATAAAAACTCAGTTCTCTCCAGAGTCCTGTAAGAAAAAAATCTAATGAGCAAAGGACAGAATGGGGACCATGCTCTACAATAAGTAGGTCCAATGCATATTGTCACTATAAAGACTACAGCTCAGAAACATGTCTTCATAGCATGTGCATTGCCACACACTGAACAGATAATTCTAATTCTAGACAGATAATTCTATAGTTAAATTGCTCGAAATTCAGGCACACACACACACACTCACACACACACACACACACACACACACACACACACTTCACAAAATGTAAACATTACCTTAATAGACACACAGCCTACAAACAAAATTGTTTCCCTCAGAATACATATTGTGTAATAACACAAAAGCAATGTATAAGGGCAAACAACAAAATGGTGTTAAGCATGCCCCAAATGCTTCTGAGGGAAAAGTTTATCATGAAACCCTACAAATAACAATTAACAAATCAGTCGGCTATTTGTTAACCATAGTGGTACTTATGCTTAATGTAATCATATTGTTGTAAATTTAAGGAAAATTTAGAAGTGTTTCTCCAACTTTCATTTTAATGTAGTAATCTAAGTATGTGGCATGAAAGTTAGCATTCAATAAATATGGAGAGTAATTCATACCTTAAATTCCTCCAAGATTTTGTAATTTTTCCCATGATATTCACAAAAGTTTTTCACTTCTTTGCACTCAGGACAGCATCCATTGTGTTCCACTTTAGTACATTTTGGGTGAATTTTAGGGCATTCTGGCTGGTCACACACAGGTCCATCCAGAGCACAGACACATGGACAGTTGGAATGCCCTGGGAAAAATCGTTCTCCCAACTTGTATACAAAGCCGCTGTCATCCACACACCCCTTCCCTCGATAGTCATCAAAAATCAGGTTGTCATTACTGGAGGTCTGGTCACCTTCATCAGCAGGATAGTCTTCATGACTGATGGCAGCAGAGGTGACCAATCCAAGGATGACCAACAGAAGTATGCAAGCTTCATGAATATGAAGAGCCATCCCCCTCCTCAAAGGCTTCTGGATGTGTTCCTAATATTACATACACTCAGCTCCTTCCATGGGAATACAAGGGGGATAGGCTGAAAATAAATATTTAAAAAGAATAATTTGACATAAAATAAAGAAAATGTAGATTCACGTAAGCCCATGCTCTTAATCTGTTTATTTGTAATCTCTTTGGAAGATACTGAGACCTCAGACTAAGTTCATGCAACAATCTACACTTCATTATGAAGTTTGGAGAGTTGATTCTTGGCAATAAGACATTAAAATTTGCCCTTTATGGAGTTATTTCATTTATGCACCTTCAGCTTGTATTTGCCTTTCAAATTTCAAATGTCCAGTTTTGCCTAAATTGTAGGGAGTGGTTTTACTGAGCCTCAAAAGGTGATTCCAAGTAGTTACTTACAAATGGCTCAAGAATATTTGAATGCATTATTCTTTAAACTGGACTAGTCAGTGACAGAATGTATATAGGTTAGAGTCATCTGGATGAAAACTCAGGAGATTAGTGAGAAAAATTTCTACTTCTAAAAGAAAGGGAAGAGAGCAAAGGTTAAATATAAATTATAACTGGGATGGAGCTAGTATACAGGCTTTCCTACTTCTTTATGCCCATAATTGGAAACAGTGGTCTCAATATAGGTTACTTATTTCAGTGAACATGAATCTGGATTTTGAAACATAGCTAAGAAGAAAAAATAGCACAAATATTCCACAGTGAATAAGAGAAAGAAAAATTTAAATAATAAATAATGAGTATGTCATATATTGAAAAGGATTTGTTAAAAATAAACTTATTTGTTTTATTGTCCACATTTTTATTTTACTCAGGAAGTAAGCTCCTAGTGGGCAGGGAAGATGTATCTGAATTTTTTTTTTACAGCAACTTAAGTTTATCATTTGTATAATAATTTGAGTTAGTTACTTCAATATAAGATAAATACCATTCACATAATTTTGAAAACATACCTCTCTTGACATGCCAAAGATATTTACATTTAGTCATTATGCACAAAAATGCCAGTGTAGAAAACTGTTTATTGAATTTTTCTAAAATAGTAATATTGTGTTGCCATTCATAGAAATACATCTTATTAATTTGGTGGCATTGACTCTTGGGTTGATATGGAGGATTGATAGTGGGCTCTTAAATGTTTAGAGTGACTAACTCATATGAATGCTCTGGAGAAACTGACTTTAAGAAGTAATAAAAGTGTTGTCAAATAGTTCATTTGTGTATTTAAGTTTGGCTTTATGCCAACATCCCTAAGGTTGTATATAGGACATTTTCAGATTATTTATGAATATTATTCATTTGTTTATTTTCAGATTAAAAAAGAGCAATGATAAACCATCTCTTTTCAGTCTAACACATATAGATAATTTTAGAAAAGATAAAGATGGCATTAGGACGCTTCATGAACTCTTACATTCACATTTTATGCTAGATATGCAAATTACAGTAATAGTAAAATGGAAGGTAGTATATTCATACACTCCTTAAGGGAAAAATATCTTTGATTTTAGCATTCCTTTTGGGTAGGTAATGATAAAATAAATAGATTTATTTTTAAATATGTCAAAAATAATGAGTCATGACAGAACAAAAAAATGCAAATCTATAATTTCACTTGAGCTGGAAGTTCTCTTTGACAAAGCATTTTTTTCTCTTAAATTACTACAGAAGCCACAAACATAACAGAAGCTTCTGAAGAAGTATAAATATATTTTACTAAGTAAGGCATTTATAGAGCTATGACACATTTAGAAAGTTTGTATTGGAAGAAAAAGGAGCTATTGTGCTTCCTTATAGTATTCCAATAGTATCTGTCAAAACATGCAAGATAAGCCATATAAAATACACATATCATTCTGCTTTAAAAGGACATAGACAGAAAATTATCTCTTTACAAGCTACAGGTAGGCATTAATGTGTCAGGTTATGGTAAATGTACACTTGCAGGTAAAAATAGGGGCATAATATTCACTTCATATAAACATTAAACATGCTTTGATTACACAAAATACATTTTCTAATCTACATGGAGAAAACAAGGTTTACTTTGTAATATAACAAAGTTTTTAGGGCATTTAAAAATTTTTTCTCTTCATAATTGAGCTGCTTTAGTGCAGTTTTAAGATACTATTTATTTAAAAGAAGAAACATCAGAGAAATCAAATGTTTATCTGAAGATTTAAAATGAGTAAGCAAACATTGCTAAACTGAGGATCGCTTCCCTGCTAAACTTTCCCCCCTCCCCATATTGCTACATATGATTTAAAATGACTGCATCTATTTCTTTGAGAAAACAAACATAACTCATGTCATAAGATACACTTACCTAATCACTCTGGAGGTTAATGGTGGTGGTGGTGGGGTCATAGAAAATATGAATTAAAAGATCAGGTATGTTTTAGAAAAGCAGTTCCTCTTTAATTATCCAAAGAATACATTTTCAGGCATGAATGAAAGGAAATCCATTCCTTCTACCTCCCATTTCAAAACACAGTCAAGTAGCAGTCTCCCACCCTTCCAGAGAGAAACACAGCAGACATACATAAGAAATATGCTTTGGACCTGTCTTCAGAATTCAAAGCAAGAAGCAATGCTGGTCGTGTAGAAATCCAGACCCCATGGCAGAATCATGTTGAACTTATTTTTAGCATTATTCCCAGATTCTTCTATGAAATTTACCGGCTGATTACGCCTCCTCCTCACGTGAGTTCACTTACACAGTGTTTGATACGGCAGTAGAGGTGATTTGGTTAGGCTCTGAGGATCACAAACAGCAACAGTATGCTGTAGCTTAAAGCCCGCTCCACCGGCAATACCATCAGCATCATCCACAATGTGTTGCTTGAATTCCCTCTTACACACCAGAAAATACTAACCGTGGACGTGAAGGAAAGGAAGAACTTTAGCTAGGTTTCTGCATCACTCGGAGTAGTTTGCAGACTGCTGGTTTGGAGCTCATTCTGCCGGCAGCCCGGAATTCCTCAGCACCATGGACAGCGCCAACAACTGGCTTCTGAAGCCCAGCTCGGTACAAATCCCTAGCTGCTGCTTTAGAGCAGGCTACACTGTTCTCTAAGCAGTCGCACTTTATACAGTGGATGCGTGCATTAGGAGGGGGTAAGGCATTTTACGTGCGAGATATTTATTTGCATTAAAATTAAAATAAAAAATAAACACCAGTGTAATTACACCTAATGCATTCTTGAATGTGCTGCAGAGATGAAAGTTCCAGAAGAACCTTGCATTTAGATTTAAGCGATCTGCAGCCTCAATTATTAATAGATAAGGCATAATCATTGTCAAGAGAATCTGTGAAAATATATGTTCCCCGATTCTATTTGACCCTTTGATTTGCAGAAAGACCTTCCCTGTGCCACATGATTAAACTTCAGGTCTTCCTGCAGATTATATTTGATTTTTTCAAAGTAGCCCCCTTCTTCTGCAGTTAGTACTCTAACATTCAAAATCAATCTCCTGTAATTCATCTAGTCTGTCATTAGGCGTCATTGTAAAGCTGTTTCTTTCAAACCCCTGGTGAAGATGCTCTGTCTCTAAATTCTTATCAAATGAGAAAGAAAAAGACCCAGACACAAATAAACTGGCAGAAAGTTTTTTTTTTTTTTTATTGGTAATGGTAGGGACATTAACAGATACGTGCAAAGGATGTTCTAAAGCAAATTATAAATGTTATCTGCTGATATATTTAACCAGATATTTACTGGTTTGGGTCTACATGAGACATTTTCCAGCTTTAAAGGGAATGCCCTCCGCAGTGGGATATGCTGACAGTCAAGACCACGTTCGAATGGTGCCGTCAGAGCCTCCGGAAAACAGATTCTCTCCATTGTGAGAAAATACTACTGTGTGAGCCTCACTCTCATGGCCCATCAGTTTGTGAATCTGCCCTGATTTAAGATCCAACAAATGGATAACTCCATTGCCACTCGCTTGAGCTAAAACTCGACCTGAAAGAGGGAGGGAGGGAGGGAGGGGGCGAAAGAGAGAGAGGGAGAGAGAGAATATCAAAGTTTTATTTCAAGCTGTCATAGCTTTTTTAAAATTTTGTTATCATTAATCTACAATTACATGAAGAACATTTGTTTACTAGGCTCCCCCCTTCACCAAGTCTCTCCCTGCACACCCCATTACAGTCACTGCCCATCACAAGCTGTCATTGTTTTTAAGCAGTGTAATACACAGTTTTGTGTCAATTGTAATTCAAAAGACTCACTTTGTTTTAGGTATCAGTCATTAAACATGAACTAACTCCTGTCTGCTTAGGAAACAATTACAGTAAAAAATTAAGACATGCCAATGATTCGTTTATAAATTTTAAAATAAGGAAGTAAAACCTAATTCTCTACCTACTTGATATGCAGAGGTCATCAAATGCCCTGCTAGTCTCCTTATGTCTGGGATTAACAAATCATTTTGAGAAGATGAAAATGAAAATAAGCAATGCAACTTTCTTTTTCAAGTGAATTATTTGTGAAAAATACTAAAAAGCACAGGCTTCAAGATTTATGGCTATATAATATATATATATGCACACACATATACACAGACATACATGTATAATGGGTAATTTATATTTTAAAATTTGTATTATACTTTAAATATGTAACTTGTATTATAATTATGCTAAATTATTACCTAAAATATAATAATATACATTTATGCTTTAAAATTGTGACACTAATGAACAGAAAACATTTTAGAGTTGAAGTAAAAATAAATATCTCCATTTCAAAGATGATTTAGGTTCTTTTACTCTCATTTAAGACTCAGAATTCTCTCAAACTAAAGTTTTGTTACATAAGGGAGCTAAATACAGCACAAGGTATTCTCTTAATTTTTATACTGCATATTTTAGAGTGAAGTTTCCTTAAAGTGAAAATATGTCAGCAATCTAATTCTAATACTTTTATTAAAGAATTTCAGTAGCAAACTATGAGGGAATTTGGAGGCAAGTAGAAGCAACAGCGTATGGTTTACATAAATTCAGATGGAATATTTACATAAATTTAGTATGTGAGATAAATAGGTATTATATTAGAGCTATTCACCAGGATTATTTTATCACACTTAGAAGGCATATTATCTTTCCAGTAATAATATTCAAAATTCATTGAACCTTTTCAACATGCTGGATACTAGATTTAGTACCTGACATGGACAATTCCATATAGTCCTTACAGAAATCTAATGATAAAGAAAATATTATTAAGTCCATTATATTGGTAAAGAAAGAGAGGCTTGGAAATGCTAAGTAACTTGCTTAAGATGACTCTAGGTATAGAGGGAGCTAGCATTTAATAAGTACTTTGAATCCAGAACCTCGCTATGAGTCATTATGTTTTCTACAACTGGCATAGTATTGTTATTAATGATACCTTTTGACAGATTTTTAATTACGTATACATTGTGAAAATAGAATTAGTTTCATAATAAAAATCCTTTAATGATATTGTCATAAAAGTCATAGTGAAGTATTTCATCTACAAGTTATACCCCTAATTGTCATGAATTTCTCAAAAACAGAGAAAAGTTACAAAAGTAAAACTAATCATGATAGATATGGCCTATTTACAAACCTTAATAACTACTGGATTTCTTCATCTAGAACAAAGCCTGACACAGCAAAGATCCTTAGGATGGATTAGAGTGTCCAAAATAGCAGATGTGAATGTTTATTATAAACCCTCTTCTTTTAAGTCTTTGGTGACAGAGGCATTAAATAGAGATTTCACTTCCAACCTCACTCTATAGGCAATTGCTGTTTGTGACTTTCCTAAGAACCAGATAACTTTTTTTTCTTGTAGTTTTCATACACAGCTAGGGATGGGATAAATATTATTTTCTATTTTTGAAACCAAACCAAACAAAACAGAATCAAAGCTCATAAAATGAAAGGATTTAGCTTTAAATCATTATCTCTTGCTGAAGTCAAATCTGTAGAAAGCACAATTGGAAATATTTATGAAGATTTGTGTAATTTCTGAAAGTTGCTCAAGAGAATAGAGAAAATGTTAATATTGGAACCTAAAGGTAGGATTATGTAAGTTAGCAGCACCATGCCTCAGGTGTTTCAAAATTTGTGTTTGCTAGGACAGGTTTGATTCAGCAAGTTTATGGTGAGGTTTTCAGTTTTACTTGAACTAATTTCCAGAAGACTGCAAGATTGTTTGCATGTGTGTGTGTGTATAATTGATTCCTAAAAGGGGCATAAATGTATAATCATGTTAAATAGTTCTTAAAATATATTGGATTATTAAATTGCATACAATGTCTGACCTAAAATTAATGTTACTGGGAATTGAGGTAATGGACTTTTTCTAGATTAGGAGACTTTAAAAATTACCAGGCTGTGTCAATTACTACATTAGTGTCTAGTTGGTATGAGAGAGGTGGCACTTATAAAAAAAGATTACAGTATGATTATTGGTAGCATCTCTAGAAAGTGCATATGTACAAACATGTGCATAAGTATCTTCTTAAATATCCTAGTGATTGGCAGTGAAAAATAAATCTCAAGATGAATTATTTGTCATCCTAATGTCAGAGTCTTAATGACAAATTTAGGAAGAATAGATGATTTATCTGTATCAAAGCTTGCTCAAAGGAATAAAAATTTAGTAGAAATAGAGTTTTAAATAGTACCATAAGAACTTACAAAAACTTGCACTAATAAAATGTTCATGTTAAAGTATGTCTCTTTAAAATGTGAAATAAAAAATGATAAATTATATTTGTATTTTAAATATTTTATTAAAATTTTATGAAAACAAAATTTAACCATAATAATTGCCTATAACATGTAATTCTTGAATAAAAGTACAAGAATAATTATACCAAGTTAATTCCATAGATTGAAAGTATGTGATTAAACAGAGTAGTTTATCAACATTGATTTAAAAATAAAAATAAAGAAATTGATTCATAAGTTATTTTAAAATAAAACATAAATCAGTATTTGAACATCTGTTCTGTAAAAAATAACTTATTTTTATTTTTAGCCTTCAGTCATTAGGACCCAAACTCTATAAAGTGGGAGGAAAGTAAGCAGTCAGGGGAGAAGACTGACATAATTTTGTAATCTATTCTTTCATGTAAATAACTTAATATATATATAAAACAATGAGTGCTTATGACTATCCCTTTACTCACATATCACTGAAAAACAATACTTATTTTTATCTAGCAAGATTTTAGAATATTTTCTTGTTGATTAAATCAATATCTTTTTTGGTTGATCAATAGGGTTTGAAGGAGGATAACAGGTGTTGCTACTGACTTTATTCTACTGGCAAAAAAATTTGCCAACTTCTTTTGACTTAGAAGACAAGGAGTAAATTTGACTTACCATCAAAGTATTGTTCTGTTATTAATTGATCCAACCAACTTTTGAAAATTAGTAGGTCTCTCAAATTTTAGTTTCAAATACACTTATAACTTTAAGATGATCCAGCTTCTTTATATTTTGTTTAAAAAGCACTTAAAATATGTCTACTAATATGTTGAGCAAAGCAGTCTTGATCAGAGTTGGTATAAAAACTTGAATGTTTACACTTTTTTATTTAAGCACCATTAGCAATAGAAATCTCTTAAAGATGTTTCTAGAATGAATTAGTCCAATAAAATCTAGTGGTGAAATTTTGTCTGGTTATATGCAATCACTTTGGATAAACCAATATAAATTGGAAAGTGTTAATCCCATGCGAATAAAATGTCCAAATAAAAATATTGGCACTTTGTTAAAGAATTTTAAATTACTTTTAGATACATTCATATGTGAATATTCAGTTTGATTTTAAAAGTATACATCTAGAATAGCTAAGAATTATGTTTAACTTTTCAACATTTACTTGTCTGCTAACCAAGCTAATTTTTCTTAAGGTTAGAAATTCTGCATATTGCCTATTACTGCAAAATTTTTGACACAAATCATGAAAGTTGACATAATCAATGCTTAAGTACATGCTTATTGCA